ACTAGAAAAAGAAATTAGAAAAGATAATTTAAAAAAGACAAACTCCTAGACAAAGTGTAACTATTAATTATAGTTGCTATGTACTACATCAATCCCCTCCACTTGAATAAAACTCTTCCTCGAGTTTTCTTGAAGAAAAAAAATCAATCAATCTAAGGAAAATACTCAAAAATTTCTGTCAATACTAATATTGAAGAAAATTCAATTTATTGATGTACTGTCACCCCATAATTTTTGTTCTCATCCAGGAATAGATCTGTCTTATAAGTTACCTCCCTGGCATAGTGAGATATTGTAAAATTAGTGCGTGATAGTTTAGGCTTGATAAATCGATTGTTTTTTGCAAATGTCTGATATAATTTCCAAGTAAATATCTCATGAGTAGATTTTGGAAACATACGAGCTTCATCGAGAAATGCAATTATTCCACTAGATTTCTTCTCAATCAAATCGAGCACATCTTGATTATCAACAAATTCTATGTAACTCCAGTTTATCTTTTCTTTTTCATGCTCTTTTGGTACCATCTTAAAAACATGCTGGTTACTGTTTTGTATTGGTGAAATTGATACAGAACCGCGCAAAACTACTGTGCTTAAAACTTTCAAGCCAGTAGATATCAAGAACTCCTATTATTGTCTTTGAGTTTGGATCTTGTCCAATGGAGGTCCTTCTTTTTTCCGCAACCCAGTCAAACAGGCGAGAATATATAGTTTTAGCCAACGTATCACTGCTACTCAAAGCAGCCTATGGATCAAGAGTCCAAGTAATAACTTTCTTAGGAGTCATCGTCACGCGCTTAATTAGTGCATCTTCCAAGCTCTTGGGATCACACTAGGGCAATTCAACAATATTATTAAGATGAAATCTAGAGTTTTCATCCTTAATCACAGAAGAATCGACCTTGCTATTAAGAGCAATATAATAACACACCCTAATAACTCCAAGCAATAGTTCATCATGAACCCTGAACTTAGTCGACGCTACAGCAGTAAGAAGAAACTTCAATACTTGACGAGTAGTGCTGTCAAGTGAGAAATTTTTAGCACCATCTAGACCAGGATCACCCTCAAGGTAATTGTACCCAATGAGCTTATGGAGGCAATACAGTGCAAGCTCCACGACTCTAATGTTCTTGGTCTCTAATGCAATTCGAAGTCGATTCAAAACAAGCTCAGCATGAGCTCCTCCTAAAGTATGCCCTACACTTTCTAAGGCTGTTATGATAGATCCACTTCTGTCTGCAAGTTGGCTAGGAGATTCCACCTCCTTAGCAGCAGTTGGAGCAGCGTTTGATTGTTCTGATTCTGTCTCAAATTTTTCAGCTCTAGCATCAGTTGCAGGTAAATTAATTGTCACTTCAATTGAGGATGCTACATGGATCATGGTTGGATTCATCATAATTAGATTGCTGACTAAAGTCCCTTGCACTGACTTTAATTCCTTCATGATTGACAAGTTTAATTTACTTCTCTTTTGTTGGACACTTCCAAACTTCAACTTGCTCAATGCTCATCATTGGACTGTGGCTCGATCTTGGAGTTTTCAATTGCAATTTCCATTTTCCATATACAAGGAATCAGCAGGTCTCGGATTTTCAACTTGCACATGCTTTTCTTTTTCTATTTTAGTACCATGGCTGATAACATCTTGATTATCTTGAATTACTTTTTTTTAGCCTTATCATCTGCCTTATAAGCCTTTTTTCTCTTTGTCATTCATAAA